TATGTAGCCCAGGCAGGTCTTGAACTCACAGTGATCCTCCTGCCTCAGCCTCCCAATTTCTGGGATTACAGGTGTGTGCCACCATGCCCAGCCAGCATTTTGACTTTTAAAAATATTGCATTAAACATTATTTACCCTGGTTCCTTCTTGGTGCACCCGTACATCTCGTGTAAGGCAAATGGTAGCCTCACCCGCTCGTCTGTAGCTATTCCAAGAACACAGTGGTTTGGGGATAGTTTTTGCAGAGAAGATCAGGGGATAGAGAAGTCATGGAACCCTAAATTCACCAGAAGCATGAACGGGATGCTCAGGAGACACGCTGGTATGGGACATGTGCAGAGTGTGTATTGTGTGTGTGAGCATGTCAGCTGTGCTCAGGAAGCCAGCACATTCCACATCTGAGCCTGCACGGCGGGGCTGTGGTGTTACTGAGGTGAGGGGGCTCCTGAGAAGCAGGCAGATGTGTCCTGCTATCCTTCTGAAAGTACCTGGAGGAACGGGCCCAGAAGCCCCATTTACCTGGAGACCGGTGTGGATTGTTCCACTTGGCAGCACCTGATCTCGCAGGTTGTCCGTGACTTTGCAGCTTGGTGGTAAAAGAAGCCACCTGCCAGGTTTGGTCGCTGAGCCAGACACCTCCTGGCCATCCCCGCAGATCCTGCCTGGGAGAACCTGTGTGGGTGGCCAGCTTGGCGTGGATCCCAACGCTCCAGGCAGGAGGGTGGTGACGGATGACAAACACCGCCACCTCTCCCTTCACCTCTTGGCCTGGGGCCTCCTTATCGATCCTGCAGATGCCAGGTGGGGGTCTCTGCCCTGTCCTGATGCTTTGGCAATCAGTGCTCTGTCAGCACCTTGGATGGACAATACAGGAGCGGTGCACGCCGTCTCCACCTCCCCTTTGTTCTGGCTCTGTCCTCGGCTCTCTGCGTAGCTTTTGGGGGAGACACCCAGAGCCAGTGTTTGGTGGCCAAACAAGGCCAGCTTGAGGAAGCCCCCTCTGAGCTTCCCACCCCTTCCCTGCCTTTCTGGCCTTGCCCTCTCATAAGCTTGAGCACAAGCAGCCTTAGCCCTGGGCTCTGCTTTCTGGCAAACACAGGCAGAGACATATTTTCTTGGCACGAGGCTGTCAGAAAAATTTTCTTCAAAAATTCCACCTTTAAATACTACTCTTACATTGTAGTGGGTACTTGGCCCGTGGCAGATCAGCAGAAGGGACATTGGAGGTACAAGGATCTCGTGTATACCCAATTGTCATTTAGGCTCCTTCTAATTGACGGTGTGTTACCTTCCAAATGCTATGTTGTTATTAGGAACACTGATGAGAAAGGAACGTCACCTTCTGAGCTCCGGTAGTCTGTCAGTGAGTGTCTAAGGACTGAGAACCTGGAGCAGTTCTTAGCCAGCTAAGTTCTGCCCAAGACTCTCTGTCTTTCAGCAGATGTCACAGCATCCATACACACAGGGGGAGAGCAAAAGATGACTTTCAAGCTGTAATTAAAAAATTCGGTGTTAGGTCCTTTGTTGTCCTTATTTCATGACGTCAGATTCTGGAATTCTCAGAAATGATTGCATTATTCAGTCCAGATTTCTACATACGTTAATATAGTAGAGTATGCAGAAGTAGGAAAAACCATCTCTAGGCAAATATCCATCCATCCACCCACCTGCCCATCCATATATCCATCCACACATCCACTTATTTCAGCACAGCCTAGCTCTGGTGTTTGTGCTTTTAAATTTTATAAAAAGATCTCCCAACATTCCTACAGTTGAGCCCTTCATGTTGGTTTCACTGCGTCTTCCCGTGAGCCAAGTGCCCTGCAAACTCTCAGCTTGCAGCTGCTGATGCAGTCACATTGGCCTCAGACCTGGATCTCCTGCCTCATCAGTCCGCTTGCTGGTGGGGTGGGGAGCAGCACGCAGAACTGAGAGGGGCTCCCATCCCACGGCGGAGAGGGAGTGCTGGGAACCTGGTCCTTGGGTTTGCATCTCGGCTTTGCCACTTCCCAGCGGGGACCCTGAGCAAGGTCCTCAGTGCCATCAGGATGCTCGGTGAAAGGAGGCTGATGATGGCAGCTCGAGCGTCTGCCTTGTCAGATGCTGTTGGAGTCAGCGACCATGGGCCCTTGGGCCTGGCTCTGCAGTGTGCGCTGTGGTCTCGGACACTCAGCCTGGTGCAGACCCTGCTCTTCCCCAACCAGGGAGACCCAGCGCCCCTTCTGTGTGTGGTGGCCGCACGACCCAGTGTGAAGCCAGACTCTGGCGACCCCTCAGCTCCCCTCAGCCTTGGAAACCTCTCAGGCCACTGCGAGTTCTGCAAAAAGATGCTCTCAAGGACTTGCTCTTTTTTGTCAGGATCGTTTTCTGATCTGCGACACCAACTCCCGCCACATCCATTAGCTTCATTTTGCCTCCATCACATGTGACCTGACACAGAAATTCTGCCTTGGAAACCCTAAAAGAGGGCTCCTTTCTCCGGTGCACATTTCCCTTTGGTCTCCTTTTGGTTTCCAGAAGGCGAACTTTGGTGGAACAAGTTGGCATTCACAACATTTGAAAAGGGTTTCACACTTGAGCATTTAAAGACAGTGGGGCCAGGCCTGCACTGGCTTTGGGTGTTTCTCATATTCTCTTTAATTTGATCTTATTTTACCATACACATGTCCTATTTTGCAAAATGCTTCCTGATGGCATCTATGAATTATGCAGGGAAGGGTTTAGAAACTAGAGTAGTCTTCACTTTGGGCTGTGGCTGTCACTGGCCTGGCCAAGCCTCAGCGATAGTCAGCTTCCACCCAGAGGGTGAACTTAGTGGCTTTGTGTTGGAATAGAGGAGGCACCGAGACAGGGACAGATGTTGGTTCTTATTTTGTGGAAAACTCCCTTCTTGGAAGGGACTCTTTTACTTGCAAATCTACGTGTAAGAGCCAGGCCATCTGCTAAAAGTCCAGACGCTGGCCACTGCAGGCTCCTTTAGGTAACGGAAGGTGTCGAGACAGAGGATGTACATGGTGGTTTTCTGAAGAACAGTTAATAGTGGACATGGTGGCCCATGCCTGGAATCCCAGCTACTTGAGAGGCTGAGGAGGAAGGATCCCGAGTTCGAGGGTTGCCTGTGCAGTTTAGTGAGACTGTCTCAAAATAAAGAATAAAAAGGCCTGGGGTCCTAGTTCAGTGGTGAGACCTTTGCTGAGCTTGTGGGAACCCTGGCTTCCATCCCCAGTATTGAAGAATAAAAACAAAGACAAGAAGCAAAAACAGTCGGTGTTTGGCTGAGGGCTGTGACCTCCTACCTCCTCGCAAACACAGGCAAGGAGTTTCTAGAAACTGAAGGGGCCCTGAGTTAAATGCAGAGACAGGACTCACATTTCCATGGCCTTCCGGCTCCCAGAGGCGCCCCAGTTGCAGAGCGGGCACAGCAGCCTGACCCGGCAGCTGTTCGCACTCTCCTGGACTGGGGTGCAGGGTGTGGTGGTGACACGGGGGGCGCTTGCTTTCCTCCCCCGGGTTGCTGTGTGCACAGGGCAGCTGTTTCCCCAGGAAAGGTCACTTTACCAACAGGAGCCTCCGTCGTGCGGAGCCTCGGTTCTGTTCACACGGAGAGCTCTCCGCACGGCCGTGTTCTGTTCACGGTGGTGACTGATGCCCTGGGCACTCGTCGTGACGGCGCTGGACGGTAAATGGAGTCAGTTACTATTTTACTGTGGTTGTTTTTGTCCTGCAGTCCTGGGCCCCGGGGCACCCTAACCCCTGTGTGGGTTTCCTGTGTGTTCCTTGACCTTGTTCCGTCCAGGATGCCTTCCGGCAGCCATGTCCCAAAGGCGCCTCCTGGCTGATGCTAGGGGAAGCTCAGGTTCCCGTCTTAGCCACCACCCCTAGTGTCACGGCCTTGGGGAAACTCCCACCCCTACCTCATCTCCTTCTGTTGACGCTCGGAGTTTTGCCATCTCTCTCTTTTCAACTGCAATATTATTTTCCGGATGACCCGAAGGTTGGGTTGACGGAAGGCAGCTACCACCATGAGGTAGAAGAAGGACCATGAGGAGCCCATAAAGCGGACACACGCTGCCCACGTCCACACACCTCCCCAGGCCGCACGCCTACAGAATCTTCTCTTCCTTTACTTCTACTTAGTCTGGTGCACTGTACATAGGATCACATTCCTTGCGGGGAGTCGATACCTGCACCTAGCACGTCTTCATTCTTTTCATGTCCCCGTCCCCTGGCTTCTCTCCCCGCTCCACACCTTGTCCCCTGCCCTTTTGCAAAAGCCCTGTCTTCTGCTTCCTCTCGTCTGTCTTTTATTTTGCTCTTTAGTTTCCTTATACTTTGGGGTTCTCACGTACGAGAAATCTGCAATAATTAAACTTAACACCCACAGAATCTTACCCCAAAATACAAAACACCCAATCACAGAAAACAGGCAGATAGGTTTTCTTTGCACAAGGGAAGGAGAGCAAGAGATGGAGGGAGGGGAGAGGGAAGGAGGGGAAGAGGCTGTAGGGGGGACTAAGACGTGTTAGGTGTGGGTCCCCACTCCCCAGTGAATGGGAGACAGAAAGCACCAGCTCAGCAGTGCGGGAAGCTCTGGCTGTGAGCCCAAGAGTGTTTAGCTGATTCCACTTTGTCGGGCATCGGGCTGGTATGAGAATAGAGCAGGGCCACAGCCCTGGTTGACTGAGGGGACATTCTGGCCTCTGTGCTTGGCACAAGTCCTTGGCCATTTCCTTCAACTTTTCCATGAGGTTGGGCTCGATCCGCAGCAGGCTCCTGCTCAGCTTTCTGTGGCCGTGGGCTGTGTTCGGCCCGTGGCAGCCATGGAGGCGGGAGGCCGTCTGCGCGACAGCCGCGGGCCCTTTCCTGGACTCATCTCTTCCTGGTGTGGTGCTCTGTAACTGTCTGAGCTAAAGTAATACCGCGCTGGATTTCATGCAAGAGATAAGAGACCAAAATAATCCTGACTGTGCCTGACACATCCTTCTTTTTTATGTTTTTAGCGACAAGGAACCGGGGCAACCAACGGAAAGGACAAGACATCGGGAGAGAATGGTAAGATGCCCCCACAGCCCAGCTGTTCCCTCCTGCCCATCTGTGGCCTTGGGCGTGCAGCAGGTGTGGCTCATGCCTTCCATCCAAATCAGTGTACTATTTACATCCGCGCCTCCATGGGAGTGGATTTTAGCAATTCGCAGCAAGCACCGGGGTCTGGCTTTCCCGAGCACACAGAGGCACTCTCCCTCCCAAATAGGACTCCCGTTTTGGGCAACATGGTAATTACAGTGCAAATATAGTTCTCTGCTTTCTTCATTAGGGTTGGTGAGAACCCGTCCAAGTTGTTGTGAGGATAAAATGAGATCAAATGAGATAAGTGCTTTGAAAGCTGTGAAGTGCTCAACTCTGGAGGGAGGTTTGGAAACGCAGCGCCCGGGGTGGTGTGGGTGCAGTGGGTGCAGGGGCTGGAGCTGTGCCGGCCGGTGTCGTGTGCTCCCCGCAGCGGCTCACTGATAAAAAGTGACAGCCGCGTGGGGTGCGCTTCAGGCACCATCGAGGCCGTAAGTTGCAGGGGTGAGCTTCTATTTTTATTTTTCTGGTGGTAGTGATGACTGAACCCGACCGCTGAGCCGCATCCCCTCTTTATTTCTCTGTTGAGACAAGGTCTCGCTGCACTGCACAAGCTGGCCTCAAGCTCACAGCCTTCCTGCGTCAACCTCCCGAATAGAGCGCACTGTTTTTCGGGACAGAATCTGGAGAGTAGTGCGGGGGAGCTGGAGGTGGGCAGCACCCGGAGCAGCATGGATCGCGTGGAAAATAGAGCCAGTTTTACCCCAGGTGCCTGGCTGAGCAGTCCTGGCAGAGGCTGCAGGGAACGATGAGAATTCCCCGTGAGCGTAGAGAGCCACCCGGGGGTCTGGTGGGGCTGGATGCCGGCTCTCCTCGCTTCTCATCCATCCCAGAATGATGTCCGCCTTCATGGAAAGTGACCTTTCCTCCCACTGGATGAAATTCATGCTGGCACCTACTAATCATACTGCGAGTCATGCCATGGCAAATGCACCCGTAAAATTCCCTAGGTCCAGGCAGGGGGGTGCACGCCTGTCATCCTAGCCCTCAAGAGGCTGAGGCGGGAGGATCAGGGTGAGTCCAGGGCCAGCCTGGGCTACCCAGTGAGACTTTGTCTCAAAAAAATTCCTGAGGGACTGAAAACCCTCCGGGTCCTCAAGAGCTTCCTTTGTGCCATCCCTATGCCCCTGGGCAGGGTCAGTGTGGTGTCCCGCGGTGGGCAGGCTGCTAAAATAGTCCCCTGCGCTCTTGCGAGAGGATGCGATCTCAAGAAGCACATAATGTCTTTGAAGATCAAGCCACATCTTGTATAATAGCAGTCTTTTGGAAGATCAGCGATGGCTTTGATCGAGTGGGCGCCCCAAGAAGCTAGGCACCGAGTTCCTGGTCCACACTCTAGAACTGCTTCAGGGTAGCACAGGTGTTGGAGTCTGGAGCCGAGGTGTGGTGCTGGCTGAGGCCTCTGTGCATCCGGGGCTCCGCTCTCAGAGTGCCCTTCCTGCTGCCCAAAGCAGGAGTGTGTCCTAGTCGAAGACCGGTTCCACCCGTGGAAACTGAGTCTTTTGTGAAGGTTTAAAAATTAATCGAATGGAAAAATTCAAGATGCCATGAATAAGGCTTTTCATTATATAATTCTAGATATTAAAAGATATTTGCCTTTGAGCAGTAAAAGGGATTATTTGATAATTATAGGATAACGGCACTGTATAAATCCAAATGATTATTAACATACAGTACCTTAGTTTCAGGTAAAACTGCTTGTATATGATATATACACACAATACATTATTATTATGTTTTTTTAAAAGTGGCTTTTGCTTCTACAAAGTAACAAAGACAAAAGCCACTAATAGCCCAATAAAGACTGGGTAAAAACTTCTAGAAGTAGGGCTGGAGGACATTTTTCCTAGACACTGTTAAGTTTCTTAATTTCTCCTTTTAAAATTCCTGGATCTTGGAATTTCTGTTTTATCTTAGCATTATATTCTGTTGAAATTTGAATTGTTTTAGCCTGTCGCACAGGCACTGAGGGCAATCTATGTTCATATGTGCTTCTTATAACAAATAGCAAATGAAATTGCCCATTTGAGTTGGAGGAGCCAGGGTCCCTGGGAACAAAAATGAGCAGATAAGATCTCCAGGGCTGTGTGGTATGGACGGGAGCTGCTTGCTCCTGAAGTGAGCATTTCCAAGTTCACTTGGTTGCCTCAAGTTGGCCTGTAATTATTCCACATACTAGAGCTTCATCTGAGGTCTCTGCTTGACATATGATGCAGTGAGGACAGCGGGAGCGAAAGGTACCCATAAGGGCCTCTGTCAGGCCCAGTGAATGTGCACAGGGTGCTGCAGTCCTCTTACATGACCGAGACAGGGTTCTGGTGGTGGATATGACACATGTCCGCTATGCACTGCCCACGACGCCCTTGAAATCCTCCTCATCCTGCCAAGCTGTCAACTTCCGAATTCACAACTCAACAAATCCAGATGTTCTGGTACCTCGAGATTTTATTGAATTACCTGCTGTAGAAGCCAACTTTTCCAGAAATATTAAGCTTAAAGCTTTTGTATTTTCTAAATTTAGAAATTAAATTTATTAGGACCTGTGTGACCCAGAGGTCTTTACCGCTCCGTGAATAGCTTATTCATTATTGGCTTAAGTCAGGCCACAGCTTTCATTTGTTTCTTGACATACTTTCTGAGTGGAACTACACCTCATAGCTCCAGGGCCCCATGGCTTTATCCAGTCTGGGTAGCTAAATCAAATTCAAACACATTTATAATACAGACACAGCTCTGTGTAGATTATTCATGGCCAATTTCCTGTTTGGCGATTACATTTGCAAGACAATAGTTTCCCTGGATATTTTGTTGTGTGTCTCGAAGGTGGTTCTGCAGAGACCCCAGAGTCAGACTGTGTCAGGGGTGCACAGAAATACTGCACACAGAGTTGAAGCCGGAAGATTTCTGAGGCGAGAGGAAGACTGGAGAGAGTTAAGTCTCTTGGGGAGGCCTGAAGGTTTAGCCAAGCTGAACTGGGCTTCTGACACAGGAACGGGCTTCTTGTGATGTAAGGAGCCACTGTACGCTTATTTGCAAAGGTGCCTGCTTTGGGGGTGCAAAGCCCGGGAACACACCTGATTCTGTAAGAGGGTCCTTGTGTGCGGACTGAGGCTCTGGGCCCCAAAGGGAAGTATTTGAGTCACTGTGGGGCCCTCTGCAGCTGGGGTTTCGTTGCCATGTGTGAGTGACATCCGGCAGCTCGGTGCCATGCCTGGATGGGGGGGGTCCCCTCTTTGGACAAGGGGCTGCTCAGCTCTGCAGGTTTCCAGTAGAGGGGAGGATGTGCTAGGAGCATGCGGGACTTACTCTGGTTGGAGGATTGTGGGTGGCTAACAATGGGTGGCTTCAGATGCTGTGCTTGGTTCTCTTCTCGCCCCATGTTGAATAAACCCAAGCCCTGGGAGTTCGTTATTTTACCTCTGGAATTGGAGGGAACACACCCACAGGTGCACACCGAGTACATATTTTTCTGTCAAGTAGGTGGAAAGGTTGATTGAGAAGGACCCGCGTTCCTAGACAGATATGTACACTACCATTAATCTCTGTGAGAGTTTTCAAACAAGAAACAGGCTCTGCATATGGGTCCTAGCGCACCTATTCTCCTCCACTGCCCCGGCTTCCCGTTACCCAGTGGACACCAAGCATCTGTCCTTCGGGTTCTCTGTGTACCGAAGCTCTCAGGACCTGCGCGGTGACTCGGTCCGTTCTGCAGGGTCACATTGACTCTCGCTGTCCTCGCCAAGGGGTGCAGAGTGGCCCTGTGTGCGAGGCTTGGTGGTCAGCGTGGAGGGAAAAGGCACCGATGCTGGCTCCTGGAGGCACTGCGGACTCGTTAACATGCCCAGCAGGGGAGGCCGTTTGGGCTGGAGGCGTTGCCAGGGTGACCTTGCTCCTGGATGCGGGAAGGCTCTGATCCTGCTGCACGGCCTCCAGCAGTGGTGTGGCTCTGCTCTGCTTCACACATGGGCTGGGGCCCCAGCAGAATAGAGGAGGGACACAGGGATGAGTGGCAGAGCAGGCAGCCGATGTGGACCATGGCTACTTCCATGGGCTGCCGGTCAGGGTGTCTGGAGGCCCCCGGATGTGAGCTGTGGTCCGAGGCAAGGGGCTAAATTGGTGTACATCTCCACAGCTGCGTGGAAGCTCACTATGCTGAGATAAGTCACTTTGAAAAAAGGCCAAGCGAAAATCTGGAGCTGTGACAGCTATCAGAGGCGCACTGCTTATAGTCACAGGCTGCACCTGGCTGGATAGAGCAGGCGTGTCTGTGGTGTGTGACATTTCCCCGGCACGAGGGCTTGAATCTGATTTCTGTGGGTGCCATAGAACCTGGGCCCTAATGAACCTGTGGGGCAGGTGGGTGGCTGTGACTGCCACAGCTGCACAGTTTGCAGGGTGAAAAAGCAGAGCAGAGCAAAACAAATCAAAACAAAAGTTCTGGGGTCCCTTGAGCTCCTTCTGTCCTTTTTTCCATATTTGAAGCTACTGCAAAGGGAAAATAATTCAAACCAAGGGTGGCTGCAACTCAGGAGAGAGAGAGAGAGAGAGAGAGAGAGAGAGAGAGAGGCCTTTGTGCCCTAAGCACTCCACAGAATCTGTATTCCAAAAAGAAGAGGTGGGCACCCAAGGATGCTTCACATCCTGATCCAGATGGAAAGATAAAGTTGGCTGTCAGGGTCTGAAATAAGCCTGCCGATGTGTGTAACCGGCCAGCGAGTGAGGAGAGCTGGTGTGGAGCCGACCCTGGGATTAGCAAGCACGTGGAAGGCATTGCCGTCCATCTGCTTCGAGAGTGACTCGTGAACATTTGCTTTGCCCTTCAGTTTGAGCATTTGAGTGACTTCGATGAGAACACGGCCGCTAGGATAAAGACGATACCTCCAATCCACTGCCTTGGCATGAATGCGCTCGACGTATTGCTAACCAGA